CCTTCACAAGAGAAGGCTGAGGGGGGACCTGGTGACCGTCTATTAACTCACTAGGGGGGACCAGAAGGGTTTGGGGGAGACCTTGTTTCCCCTAGCGCCCCCCGGGATAACAAGGAATAACGGCCACAAGTTGTTGGAGAGTAGGTTTAGATTAGACATCCGTAAGAACTACTTCACAGTTAAGGCGGCTAGGATCTGGAACCAACTTCCAAGGGAAGTGGTGCTGGCTCCTACTCTGGGGGTCTTTAAGAAGAGGCTTGATGCCTACCTGGCTGGGGTCATTTGAGCCCAGTCTTCCTCCTGCCCAGGCAGGGGGTCGGACTCGAAGATCTACAAGGTCCCTTCCGACCTGACTTCTATGATTCTGTGTTAACTAGCTTTGATTTTATGCCAGTATTCTGGTGACATCACCAGTAGCATGGTTTTTGCCATATTATCTATAACTATAACACTCTCAGAATCCTAATGTGTGAATTTACACATGTAATTACTGCTACCTACTATATATAATTACTGCTATCTGCTGTAGTTACTGCTACCTAAATCCATGGTTGTCTAATATTTCATTCATGATACATCCTTGGGAATTTCAATGCCAGGGGTAGAGCTGAACTCCTCCCACTCTAAAAAGCTCAGATCCCCACTATTTGAACTAAGAGGGGATGCCAGTTAACTTTTAGCAGTTTAGGACATGCGGAGTATATTTACACATGCATGTTAATGCACATTAGCCTATTTTAATGCACATTAAAGCATCACAAAGGGCATTTATACACATACTTTTTGGTCCCGCAATGCACTGGAGATCTACCGCTTCGGAGCAGACTCGAGTTGTCTAAGTGGCAAAATGCACATCAGCATACAGCGGTGCACTTTTGAACTAAAGCACCTTCTATGTGTTTTAATTCAAAAGCATAACACCACCATTCTCACAGCGTTGATGTGCATTTGGCCATTTATACACCTGAAAGTATCGCAGTATAAGCACTTGCATGTGTAAAAATGCCCCCAAACCAGGCTAATGTGATTAAAATAGGCTAAGGTACATTTTTGTAGTATCTCACAGTGGAGGTACTAGATTTAATGCTCATTGCCTATAGCACATGTAGATGTGTCCAGAGTTGGACAGTCCTGATTCTAAGCCCAAGGAGGCATTGGTGAAAAGCACAACGTGAGTCATCAGTTTTTAATCTAAATATGAAAGCTACTTATACAGGGTGACACCACTAACATAATGATGGGAAAAATGTATTTTGCTGCCAGTCAGTCCTAATGAATTAATAATTAAATTATTAACTAAAAATGGATGTTGTTCTGTGCTCCAAAGGCAGAGGTGCTGAAGTTCACCATGTTCGATATGACATTATTGACTTGTTATTTTGTTTTCCTAGGGCTTTGTTGTTGCCCTTTTGTATTGCTTCTTAAATGGAGAGGTAAGTAGCAAGACCTCACATCACAGGAGCCCTTTGAAACACATAAGATTCAGTTGTATTCCAGTTATGCCAAGTCCCATTTCATTGCACTTTGATCTTCTCTTGGAAGCCTGAAAGAACCTCATCCATTTTCCCTCGTGCACTTCTCTACCTCTTTTGAGTCAGCAGCCACTCTCTCTCACCCGCCTAACCCACTTCAGCTGCATATCTTCAAACCTGGAACTGAGGCAATGAGGCCACTCAGTGCCTCTTGAGCTCTTTGTCTCTTAAGAGTTTGAGACTGGTGTTTGGGAGTGTTCCCAAGGTGCATGGGAGAGTAGGGGGGGTGGGGGTGGGCATGGAGTAGTTTTCAGAAGCACGGTGACAATGTGAACATAATGTAACTTCAGATACACTTGATTGAAATGAGTTGCTAAATAAGAAAGAACAAACTCAGTATCATTCCACAATTCCTAAAGTGTAGTCATGGCCACGGTAAGAGCCAGCCTCCCCACCTTTTGCCTGACAGTGCAAAAAGTGGGAGATCTGGTTTCTAGGCCTAATTCAACCAAAGGGAATTTGAACCCCTTCTACCATTTGAAGCTGGGACCCTAAACAAAAGCACTTCAATTGTAGCACCAGAAGTAGAGTATGTAAGAGGGAGGAGGGAGAAAAAGAACAGCAATGGCCCCAAAATGATTGAGTTCAGGATCCTGAGGAAAGGTAGGAAGGAAAGCAGCAGAGTAAGGACCCTGGACTTGAGAAGAGCAGACTTTGACTTGATCTGGGAACTGATAGAGAAGATCTCCTGGGAAGTTAGCCTGTGGGGGAGAGGAGTCCAGGAGAACTGGTTGTATTTTAAAGAAACTTTACTGAGGGTGCAGGAACAAATTATCCCACTGTGCAGGAAGACTAGCAAGTATGGCAGAAGACTAGCTTGGCTTATCAGGGAACTATTCAGTGAGCTAAAACGGAAAAAAGGAAGCGTACAAGAAGTGGAAACTTGGATAAATGACTAGGGAGGAGTATAAAAGTATTGTTCAGGTATGCAGAGATGAAATCAGGAAGGCCAATGTGCAATTGGAAATGCAGCCAGTAAAGGACATGAAGGGTAAGAAGGGTTCTGACAAGTATGTCGGTAGCAAGAGGAGGATCAGAGAAAGTGCGGGTCCCTTCATGAATGGGGGAAGCAACCTAGTGACAGAGGATGCAGAAAAGGCTCAAGTGCTCGATGCCTTTTTTACCTCCATCTTCATAGGCAAGGTCTGCTCCCAGACTGCTGCACTGGTCAGCACAGTCCGTGGGGGTGAGCAGCCAACAGTGGTGAAAGAACAGGTTAGAGATTATTAGAAAAGTTGGCTATGCACAAGTTCATGGGGTGGGATGCAGTGTACCCAAGGGTGCTGAGGGAGTTGGCTGATTTGATTGCAGACCCTCTGGTCATTATCTCTGAAAACTCATGTCAATCAGGAGAGGTCCCAGACAATTGGAAAAGAGCAAATATAATACCCATCTCTAAAAAAGGGATGAAGGAGGATCCAGAAAATTACAGACTGGTCAGCTTCACCTCAGTCCCTGGAAAAGTCAAGGAACAGATCCTCAGGGAATCCATTTCTAAGCACTTGGAAGAGGAGGTGATCAGGAAGTCAGCATACATTCATCAAGGGCAAGTCATGCCTGATCAACCTGATTGCCTTCTATGATGAGGTGACTGGCTCTAAGGCTGCAAGGAGAGCGCTATATGTGATAGACCTTGATTTTAGCAAGGCTTTTCATACAGTCTCCCACAACATTCTGCCAAGCAAGCTATGGAAATGCAGTCTGTAAGGCAGATAGAAACCTGGCTGGATCATTGGTTTCAAAGGATAATAATCAAGGGCTCAATGTCTAATTGGCAACCTATATCAATTGGAGTGATCCAGGGGTTGTTTCTGGGGCCAGTTTTGTTCACTGTCTTCATCAATGACCTGGAAAATGGGATGGAGTGCAGCCTCGGAAAGCTTGCAGATGCAGTGGGGAGTAGTAGATATCTTGGGGGGGGGTGGGTAGGGCTGGGATACAGAGAGACCTAGACATATTGAAGAATTGGACTAAAAGAAATCTCATCAGGTTCAATAAGGACAAGTGCAAAATCGTGCACTTAGGACAGAACAATCCCATGCACTGGGACAGGCTGGGGGCTGGCTGGCTGGGCAGCAGCTCTGCAAAAAAGGACCTGGGGGTGACTGTGGACAATAAGCTGAATATGAGCCAACAATGTGCCCTTGTTGTGAAGAAGGCTAATGGCATACTGGGCTGTATTGGTAGGAGCGTTGCCTAGGAGGTGTTTTGGGCTCTCCACTATAGAAAGGATGTGGACAAATTGGAGAGAGTCCAGGGGAGGGCAGGAGAAATGGCCAGAGGCCTGGTGCACATAACTTAAAGGGAGCAGCTGAGGTAACTGGGCGCATTTAGTCTGGAGAAGGGAAGACTGAGGGGGATTTAATAGCAGCCTTCAACTATCTAAGGTGGTTCTGAAGAAGATGGAGCTGGACTGTTCTCAGTGCTGGCAGATGGCAGGACAAGGAGCAAGAATCTCAAGTTGCAGCAAGGGAAGTTTAGGTTAGGAAAAACTATGACTAGGAGGGTACTAAAACACTGGAACAGGTTACCCAGAGAGGTGGTGGAGTCTCTATCCTTTGAGGTTTTTAAGACCCAGCTAGACAAAGCCTAGGCTGAGATGATCTAGCTGGGTACGGTCCTGTTTTTAGCAGGGGGTTGAACTAGATGATCTCTTGAGGTCCCTTCAAACCTTGACGTTCTAGGATTCTATCATTTTATGAAGGTGCTCTCAGCCTTGTCTCATCCAGAAAATGGTGGGTAGAGCACTTTCTTGTGAAGCAGGTGATGCGATTTCAATCCCTTCTCTGATTGAGTGTGGTCCAGAATCAACACTTCTCAATTCCCAAGCAAGTTTTCTAACCACTAGGCCATGGGGCAGAAGATGGATGAGGCCTTTGACTGCCATCAGCCATTTTGCAAAAGGTTGGGCTTTGCTCAGTCAGTTAAATGCCCTTGTTCAGGTAGACATCTCCCTGCTGACTGAGCTGTATCCCAACATGATGGAAGTACATAAGTCTGTCTACTGAACTCCTATGCATCTCCTTAGACAGTGTAGGGTCACACTCATAAGACAAGACATGTACATCTCAGGCAAATGGCAGCAGAGGCATGACATCTTAAGGTGGAGTAAGATCCAGGCCTTAGTAGCCTAAATTTTTGCTATTTAAAAAAAAATCTTTTCTTGTACATCTAAGATATAGTCTAGGAGAAGCCACATCATTTTCATGTTTGAATTCCTGAGCTCTGTTTCCTTTAATTCCATTTCTGTAGGTTCAAGCTGAACTGAAGAAGCGGCTGCGTAAGTGGCAATACCAAGAGTACTTGAACTTCACGTACAGAAAACGGACTGTATCCAGAGAAAACAGTCCTGTTAACTATGTCACACAGTTATCACTACTGGAAAAAATCAGCCCTAAGAAAAAAACATCCAAGTACCAGAATGGCATGTCCTCTGTCTGAGTGTCTTAAAAGAGCCCGAAACATTCCCATATTGTCTCCTGAAAACATGGACTGAGATGACAGTGCAGATTATCTGTTGGATCTTCATGATACTGTCCCATTTATGAGAACTTCTTCTCCCAGACACCATCTGTCCCTTTCCCCTATTACAGAAAAAAAAAAAAGAGGCCAGATCTTTCCTTCTTCGAGCACTCAAAATTCACTTTCTTAGATACCAACTGATGTAAGTCAATGCTAGGACAGTGGGATGGGTCCACTGATTTCAGTTTATGCCATAAGGAAAGCTGCCACAGTGTACATACATCCTATCTACACTTGTTACAAGGGTCTACGGCTTCCCACAGGTTTGGAAATGTGGCAGCTGGGCAGCCGTGCCACTATTCCCCTGCCACCCACAGTCCAGACTTCTGGGGAGCCCTGCGGGCTGGATCTGGCCCACAGGTTGGGGTTGAGCACCTTTGATCTAGAGGGTTGGGGAAGGGCCTGGGAGCCAACAAATGCTAAACTTGTTAGCCATTTGGTGAAACCTCAGATATCTTCATTAATCTGTGTGCTTTAATATTCCCATCTGCAAAAATGGGGTCATATTTTGGATGAAATCTTATGATCCTATTCAAGGCAAGAATTGCAAAGATGAGAGTAAAGGGGGTGGACTCTTCATGAGAGCCCTCCTGTGAACTTCCCGTCTGATTGTTCATAGTGAGAGTTTATCCCTACAAAGGAGGAGCTGAAAAGCCTGGTTGCAGAACTAGAAGATCTTCGGGAGCTATGACTACTTGAGAAAAGGACCTCTGTCTCCTTGATTTGGAGGAACAAGGACTTATTGGTTAGGGCAGTAGCTTAAATCTCAGAAAAAGCTGGGTTCAAATCCTGCTCCATCATGGAATTCCTAGGTCATCTTCGCCAAATCTGTTTGGTTCAGATTTTCAAAGGTATGTAGATGCCTAAATCCCCCCACCCCTATCCATTTCAATGGTGAGCTCAGGTCTTGGACTAGATCTCTAGAATGATGTAGATGCCTAGTGAAATCCATCCCCTACAGTTAGGGGGCTAGGTCTTCTAGACGTGGGTAGTGCTAGATGCTTAAGAACGGTGTCTGCAAAAGGCAGAACATCGGGCAGAGAGCGGCTTAAGTTAGGCAGTAAGAAATGATGAAGATGGGGGTCAGTCAAGCCTGAGCTGCTTCTGGGCATGTGCAGTAATGGAGTGTTAAGTACCTAGGAAATGTTGGACATGTCTAAAATTCCCAACACTGCCTCCAAAATTGCAAGATATCATGACTAGAAACAAGCCGTGCCCACTTGCTCTGACTCTCCATGCACTAGATGCCAACAAGAGTGAAGCCTAAAATTGGGAGTGGGATCTCCAAAGCCACTGCAGTTGAAACTTTTCTCAAGAGACCTTCTTGCGGGATCCAACAAGATGCCTAAAGACATTCATCTAGTCACCTCAATACCGCTGTTCAGACTGCCCCAACTCGGTGCGCCTAACAACCCTCCAGACACCCTCGCTCTGTCTCCTTTGCCCCACCTGCTGTGCCCTGATCCTATGCTAGGATCTTTCACCCCACTTCAGCTGCCTTGCTGTGAATACTGAGTGCTTTCCTTCACCGTTTTAGGGCAGGGCATATTGACCCTGAGACAAATGATTTTAAATATGCAAACTAGGCTTTTAAACAATGAGCACTGAAGATCCCACTTGGAACAGCCCAGCACTTGACAGCTATTAAACAAGGGGACGGGGGAAAGTATGGCTTCCTGTCAGCGTTTTGTGAAAAACAAAAGGTTTTCACCCATCCTACAA